TATTTCTTGCTGGCGGTTCACTTCTCGACGCCATGCCAGTGCATCTGACTGTCGACCGAGTCCTCGTTTGAGCGACGAGGACATCGCCTTGAGTGTGGACTGAGCGTCCCACCCATGGACGAGGAAAAAGGGCGTCTCTTTCCTCGTTGTGTCCATTGAGTTGCTGATCGCAAAGATCAACTTCTCGGCAATCTCGTCCTAGTCTTGTTGCAGGGGTCTTCCGCGTACACTCGCACTGATTGCATAACAGTTTTGACCGAGCGCTCTTGCTGACCATTGGCTTGGGGCCGGTAATTCAGCGTTGCCCTAGACCTTGATTGCATCATTTCGGTGAACAATTGGAACACCTCGCTCATGAATCAAGGGTCCCTGTCAGTCTGATGAGAGAGGGTGCGCCGAACCTCCGGTACACACATTCTTCAAAAACTTGAGCCACTCTCAGAGCAGTTGTGTCTGCCATAGCCTTGCCCATCCCATACCCTGTAAATGCGCATTGGAACAGTAAGAGCGCTGTGTTACCCCGCGGAGACTTCGGTAAGCGTATTACAAAATCCATCAAAACAACCTGAAACGGTCGTTCCGATAGTATGTTCCCGGGAGAGTACCCACGGATCTTTGGTCGACTTTTGCTTGAGCTACAGTCGGGACAGGACCGCACGTGCCTCGCCACGTCCGCGTATAGACCGATCCAGTAATAATCCAACTTCACTCTGTAGAAAGTCCTGGCGATCCCTTGATGGTCTCCTTCTAACGAGTCGTGCCAGTTCTGTAGTACCTCTTGAATCATCGTTGAGGGTACTACTAGACGCAGCATCGCGTCTTCTTGCTGCTGGTCACTCCTCAGAGGCCTCGTTCCCACATAGTAGAGCACGTCGTCCTCACTTTGGACGAAGTAGTCGGACGTAGTAGAGCACGTTGTCCTCACTTAGGACGAAATGGTCGGATATTTTCCACGCGTCTCTCGCTGCACGGTACGTCTGGGTCGATTTGTCCCCGCGGAGAACTGTCTTCAAATTCGCCCATCACAACTCCTCGTCCTGAGCGGGCGCGATCCTTCTCCGACGTTCTCTCTGGACCGTTAGGGGTCCACGTCTTCCAGGTCAGACAACGCGGGGGTATCACCGTTGGGTGCCGTTACTCTTGAGAACTCTGCTTCCAGACGGACCGAGTCCTCTGTTGGCACACCGTTGACTTCCTCTCGTTGTGTTACATCTTCTCCACCTGTCACCGAGGATTCGTCGGGAAATCTGACGCGTTTGGGCTTCGACTTAGCTTGAGGCCTGGTCGTTACCGTTAGGCCCCCTGTCTCCCTCTGGCCCCTTCGCACAAAATCGAAGTTTTTTTTCGACGCGGCTCCGCGGCAGTTCCGGACCGCTGTGACGGTTCCATGTGTCGCAAATGTCGCGTCTGAACTTGCGCTTGTGCAATGCTAACCGATGGTTCGTCCGCCGAGGACTCGGTGATGGGTGCATAGATGATCTCTTGGATGCGGTTCAGTGACCTCAACTCTTCTAGCCTAGGCTCGTCAGATATAACGTTTGACGCCTTGTTTCCCAATACTTTCGTTGCTAACGAGTCGGCCGACGCATTGTACTATCGTACAGCGTGTAGGTACTTGACTGACTTTAGCCGTGCAACGATTTCTCGGTGGCGGTTGAGTTGGGTCATCAGCGACTCCTTCTTACACGCAATCCCTAGTGACTACTGGATTGCCAGTCTCGAATCACCAACAATGACAAGGTCGGTGGCACCAATGGCTAGTGCCGCCTGAACTCCGTTGTTCATGTCCGAATACTCGGCCATGTTCACTGTTGTTGCTTCGAGATAAGCACTCGCAGCAGTGACTATTGCCCAGTCGGGTAGTCACCAAACAATCCATGAGCAACTACCATATACCATACTTCTCGGTTTTGGCCGATCCAACAAACGAGACCACGAACCCGCTGTAGGATTGGGGTAAACGAGTGTAGAGCAACTGAGGGTCCATGCGGAACGGTGGAAGATCCCTTCGTGGGCGGGGTAACCGTCGCCAACGAGTCTTCCAAATCCACAAAGCTCGTCACTCCAGCTTGCAAGAGCTGCTCGATCCTTTTCTTTGACCCTAGTGACTACCAGGTGCCACGGAGACAGCATCACAGCGAATTGGGTCGTAGGGACTTTGATGTGTGTACCCACTCCAATTTTGAAAACCGAGTATACATATGAATGGTGCGTCCCGCCAGCTGTGCGTAGCGTGTCTTCAGCAACAGTAGCAAGGCTAGCACTTCCTTCTCGGCCGGGTGGTAGTTCATCTCGGCTTCTTTCAGCACACGTCCGCAAAAACGGACTGGGTGCATTTTGCCGTCATGCTCTTGCATGAGAGTGGAGCTTAACGCCCACTCGTTCGCAAATAGTGTCACGTGGATGTCCTTTTGTCGGTCAAATGACGCAGAATTGGGGCGTCACCGATTTTCTGTTGCAATCTAGCAAAGCTCTGTTGGGCGACCAACAAATCACAGCCCGGTTCGAAATCCTCTTCCTTCAGCTGGTACAATGCGCCCGCATAGACCGCGAAGTCCTGGATGAACCGACTATAGTAGTTCAGTGCGCCCAAGAAGGACTGCACGCCTTTCTTACTCGTCGGGAACGGGAACTCGGTCACCCGATTGACCTTCTTAGCGTCCGCTCGTAATCCTTCTGGGACTACTTCATGCGAGAGAAAATCGACTCGTGACTGAACGAAAATGCTCTTGGTGAAGCTCACACTGATTCGGCACTCAGTGCGCCGTCGAAGCAACCGATCCAGGGTTGACAGATATCCATCGAACATCTCGTTCCCGAAACAAATATCATCAACAAACGACTTCGAATACTGGCACCAACGAGGACTCGTCTGGTTCTCCATTCGTAAACATATCACCGATCGAACTATTGACTAGTTCTGAGACGAGGTCTGGGTTAGCTGCGGACTCTCGGTCAGCTTCGAAATTGGAGCGAGGCCTCGTTGAACTCTCTGTCACCCCTGTCTTGGTACGCTTGACGTCTTCATCGGCTAGACGCATACGCTCAGAGTACTCTTTCTAACCACCCTTGGGTTGAACGAATCCCCATAATGCGTTGTCCATCATTCGCTGGTAAATCATAGGAGCGTTCTTTATACCGAATGGCATCCGGCGCCATTCAAAATGCCCAAGTGCGCAAACAAAAGCGGATACTTTGGAGCTCTATCCGTCATCATCACAGCCCAGAACCCGCTTGCTGCATCAAGCGAGCAAAACCACAAGTACGCTTCCATGTCGGTCAGCAAATCGTCCACCAAGGGCATTGTATATTCCATAATGGTCGTAACAGCGTTCACTCGCTTGTAGTCGATGCACAACCGGATGTCCATCCCGTTCTTCGTCAGCACTATTACGATGGGCGAAGCCCATGGGCTGTCGGAGAACGTGATCAATCCCGCTCGTAGTAGTCCTTTCAGCAGCTCGTATAGCTTTTCCAGTACACGTAGTGGCGTTCGCCGTACTTTTTGTTTGATCGGCATGTGCCCCTGCATATCAATGTCACATACCACTCCGTATGCTGGGGGTGGTAGTGCATTACCACTAGCAATCATAATCCCTTCATGACGTTGTAAAACCTCAACGAGTTTCCGTTGTTCGCCTTCGCTCACTCTCTCATTCATGACGTTCGGTCCTGTGTAGTCTAGCACCGTCGACGAGGGCTCAGTCAAGTCAGGCAGAAAAGCTAACTCGTGAGCGTAGTCAGCTAGTTCTATCTCGTTCGGAATATGCTCGTACCAATCGTCATCATCGCTCCTGTCGCCAGCAGCAATATCGATCTCGTGCATCGCGGAGATGTAGGGCAATTCTAACATGTCGACCGAGCCGTCGGTTGGGTCTTTCTCGTCGTTCCCGACGTCCGAAAACTCTGTTGGTTGCGTGTCGGGTTCACCGCTTGTCTCTTCGTCGATCCCTGCGGCGACCGAGGCCTCGCCATCCTCATGCATCCTCACACTGCTGTGGCTGTTCACGCCATCACCCCTGACATTTGACCGTGGATGGCCCAGTACACACTTCCTCGGTGCTACCGAGTCCTCGGTCGGCCTCGTTAGAATGCGTGCAGGTGTTGTGTACGTTTGGCGCTCTACCGCCGGTGATTGGCCCGCCAATCAGCACTCGTAGAGCTCTTTCTCCTTCTGCAGCAGAGTGTCGTCTCGCCTTTTGGTGTATGCAAGTACTTGTCATTCGTTGTACTTACTCGAGGCGAGCCTGACGTACCCCACTTCACGTGGGAGCTCTCCCTTAGGAATCCACAAAACCACCGAGGAGGGCTTGTAGCACCGAGCTGTCCCGTCCGACACGTTCGTCAGGCGGACCCACACAGGCTTGCCCCTGCGGGATGCCATCACTTTCGATAGGCCCTTCTTATCCATAACTCGTGTGTCGCTCGTGAGGGTCTTTTCCGAGGCAGTCGGAACTCTCACCACTCGCCCCGTGGGGTGTACAAGTCTTCAGTCGGTCCACCGGCGACTTGGGCTCCATACGATTTTTCATCCGCGGCACCCGACGACTTCACCAGTGGTACTGTGACCTCATCCGGTAGCCTGGCAGTGCCGTGTAATAGGTACAATCGCACATCTGCAGGGATCATGAAATCTGTCCCAAGCACGACGTCAACGCCTGCATTATGCTCCATAATCCACATTTCGAACTGGTACACACGTTCCCATCCAAGGGTGATCTTAACGAGAGTTCGTCGTCGGGTCCCCAACACCCCAGGGTTGATACCTCGTACTTCCAAGCTGCGGCCATGATCGGACACCTCTCGTAAGCGCCGTCGCTTTGCATACGCTGCCGATATCACGCTGACATTAGCTCTAGTATCGAGCAGAATCCTCGTTCGGGTATCATCAAAGGCACCCATGACTACGGCTCTCATTCTTTTCCGTTTGTCGTATCGTTGGGATGACCACCACCCCAGTCGGCTCGAAGCCGATACCTCTGTCAGATACCCATGTATTCTCTAGCGTCCACTTCGCCAACCTCGTTCTCGCCGAGGCTTCCGTCGTTTCGTTCTACAATTTCCGTCGTGTTCACAAATCCCACCTCGCGGTCTTCGGGTCACCTCCCCTGCGAAGGCAAACAAATAGTCTGCATCTACCGCAGGTTCGGCTAACTGTGACAGCCCGATAGGAACCAACCCAGTTTCAGTTGTCGGGCTGCCTAGTTTAAATGATTCCCGTACACCACGCTTTGCAGCATCGGTGTCAAATCATTCTTGTCAACCTTCGACCGGATGGGGCTAGCGAGTTCGTTGAAAGCTTCGCACTTCCCTGCATCATGGACTTGTTTACACATTTTGCACCGTTTGTAGCAGTAGTGTATCGAGTGAGTCAGACCTCCGCATGCTGCGCAAGGACCATACTGCTGCCGTCCGTTGCGGATGTCGCGAGCGAAGCCCCGGTCATTGTTGAAATGGCCATCACCCTTGGGACGTCGGTTATCTGACCGGGCGAACGTCCCTTCCGCCGCCGCACGGCGCTCGTGGTCGTTCGCCGCTGCTACGTGACCGCGCTCATCTTCACCGGCGTAGTCGTACTCGGAACCCCTGTTAGAGTATCGGTCTTCGTCATCTCTGCGCTCTCCATCACCGAACGAGTCCTCGTTCGACTCGTATTCTTGGTCATACGGCGCTTGCTGACTCGTCTGTGTCCCGGTTCAAGGCGGTGACCAAATCAGATAGCGCTTCTGCGAGGGTAATCCTTGGCCTGTATGACGACTCGTCTCTACGGCGATCGTCCCGACGCTAGTTGCTCCTTGAGTCCTCGTTCCGTCCACTATCGCGTCGACGGCCACCATCTTGACCACTGGAGCGCCTCACCGAGGAGTCGCGTTTCGATTCCGGTCACGACGCCTCAAAATGTCGTTGATCATGTCTTTGAGGTCGTGAATATCCTTGACCCGTACGTGACACAAACGCTCTTCGA